TAATGAAGTATCTAAATCGGAAAAGAAAACAATTGCATCATTTCTCTTTATATACACTGAACTCCATTAGTTTCCATTCTTTCAGAAGGAAGATTGTGGATTTCATGTTTCTTCATGAAGTGATTTTTTTGCCAACTCTGTAATGTTTACATGAAAACTTTTTTTCCCTGTTTCAGCAGAAAAATGTAAAGTTAAACAAAAGAAAATCAAAAACATTTTTCACTGGATATAGTTTGGAGAGGGAATTTCAGTGTAACCCTTTGCTTCTCTCTAAGTTGAATATAAAAAAATCAGTTTATCTTCTTAAAAGTTACATCAAAATGTATTACTTTGTTGTTTTAAATCAGTTGTCCTCTGCTTTTGTTCTTGGATGATGTACCATTTTGCTGTTCATTGACTCACTTATTTCTTGCTTAACACTGTTACATATTATGGGAATTTTTTGATCTCCTTCAAAGTCTTTAAAAGCTAATACCTGTACTGGATGGTTGTCTTTATTTTACCATTATTCATCATTATCTTTATGCAAAGGAGCTGAGCCTGTCAGGAAGCCATGACAGCTTCCTTGCAAAGGTTGTTTTATAACCAGACTGAGCATTAGTATGGCCTCCAAAAGAGGTGAGTGTAGGGGGCTAAATGCATAGTCTTGGTTTTAAAGCTATTTTTCCTTACTGAGTTGAGCTACATCTTACACGTATTACTGACAGGATTATATTTTTGTATTTTTTGTAAAGATTCTGTAGAGTTCTTTGGAATAGGAACATATTAGGAGGCATAATTTAAAGATATTAATAATTCCCTTCTCCTGAGCCTCCTTCCTGAACTTACACTTTGTTTACTAATTTTAATGCTCAGTACATTAAGCCAGTTTCTAAAAGAGTAGAGCTCTGCATGAGATCCAAACTTAGCATTACACCTGTGTGCTTTTCTGTTACTCACATTTCATCCAGATGCTTCCCTCATACTGGAAAAATACAAAGGAATCTATTGTTGAGAGACGTTGTAGACTCCACATGCACTAAGAAAGGTTTTAAGAGGTTTAGAAAATAGAATGCAGTGTTTGGGGTTGAGATTCAGGAATCTGAATTGCACTAACAAACTTCCTATCATACTTAAGTCTCTTTTTATAACTGCTGACACTAGTAGTCCACAAGAAAAATTTCTGCTGTTTAGAACAAAGGTGAGTATCAGCAGAGAGAGATTACAGTAATTTTTATTTTGCTGCCTTTTTTTTTTTTTTTCTTCATGAATTTAGCACAGTTTCCACTGAGATACAAACTATTTACCAAACAGTTGAAAAATAAATCTCTGGGTGAGACATGGCTGAAACTCTATAGTGCTAATATTTCCATTCACATCAGTGAGGTGTGTGGTGTGCTGGCCATCTGTTGTATAAACCTGAATAGGATCTGAAATGCTTACACCAAAGACCTGATTTTTTTATGCCATTGCTTTTATGAAGGTGTGCCATAAAACTGGCCATGTGCTGGCAACCTGTGCAACTGGACCCCTTTAAATCTGTGTAAAAGCGATGACATTCCAAGCACCTCAGCATCTCTTAAAATTAAAACAGCTAATTGCATTAAAGTCTGTGTGTTGAAGAGATTATACTCTTGCTTAGGGTTGGTTTTCCCCCTCCCCATCTGCAAGATCCCTGATGGGGTCCACATCTGTGAGAGCAACAGCATGCATGACAGACTGCCTCACGATTGGCAAGCCAACTGGAAGGAAGGCTGAGACCTACAAGGATTGCTGGACCCGCACGGCTCTCAGCTTGTGAGAACAGCGAGCTAATTAAAGTCTAAATAAATGAAATCTCTTTCTAGCTGAAGTAAAGATAAATAAATAAATGCCTGCGTGTTGTTAGAGAGGGCTGAATAAAGATGAAAATATTTGTGTCATGTTTATCCAGTAACATCTCTTTAATTGTGAAAGGGGTGCTGCCTACAGATTTGGTGAATATGTGTGAATGTCCAGTTCCTGATTTATTTTCAATCTGTTGTTGTTTTAATAGTTCAGCAAAGGTAATGAAGAGTACATTTTGATATATTTTTCAATAATTATTTAAAGTTTTAAGTCTCAGTGTATATTTTTAGCACATCTTCCTAGCTACTGCTTTCTTGTCACTGACAAGTTCTGCCTCTGCCTCCGTGCCAATGCTTCGCAGGCTGCTGTCACCAAAGGGGCTGTATGCTTTGTTTGCAGACCAGTGGTATGTCATATACTAATGCATTATTTCAGTTCTTCTGTTAACAAAAAACATTTTAACCTTCCCATCTTTAACAGTGCCAATAAAAAAAGAAGTAGAGCCGCTTAAAACATCAGTATGAAGTAATTTTTTTCCTTTAAATTTTCTGTGGGCCACTTTTTTTCAGTCTATTAGACGAAACCTAGGTTAAATACATATTTAAGAAGTTTGCCCAAGACCTATTTAGTAGTCAATTTAATTTCACTCATGTGTAGATCATTAAGATTATTTGTATTTTAGTTGAAACACTTGTTAAAATGCCTTGTTTAAATGGGCCTTTGAAGATATCTCATTTTGGAAGGACTGAGCAATTGTATTTCTTGGCTAAGCCTTGTTTTAAGGTCCTTGAAAATTTCAGTCCTCAAATAGAAATTTTAATGTCTCTAGGCACCCATTCTGAGACGATATGGCCGCTGAGTTAGGTCTCAATTTTCCTATCTCCCATTCTCATGGATGACAGCAATGACTGCAAGACTTGTAAAGAAGCATCAGGCTGCTAAAGGAAGCTGCAGTGCTGTGCAGTCAGCAGCCTTGACCTAACGTCTACTTAGAAGTGTAATCTCACCATTTAAAGTGCAAAATATGAAAAAAGTAGCTGTTAAATAATCTGTTGAAAATCTAGCACTAACCTTGTTGTGATTGTACTCCTTGAATGTTGTAATGATTCATTCCTGATCATAGAAGTCATATTAAACATATTTAAATTGTAATTCCTTTCAGAAAATAAGTATGGAGTGGGAAAATAAGTATGAAATTGGATGTTTATTCTAGGAAAACAAACAAACATAGCAGAAGGAGTAGAGAGAACATGTTTTTCTACTTATTTTAGAAGCAGGACTGTAAAGGAAACAATTCTCTCATTACACATGTATAAAAATAGGCTTTGAGACTGACTTTTCCAGGCATGAGAACTCCTAGCATTTTCCCGTTACCTTGATCCACATCTGCTCATTTGTTCAAAAATGAACCAGAGGTAAGTTTTTACTGGGATGTCACGCAGAGTTTAGTACAGGAATAGAACATATATAAACACGTCCTAACCATGAAACAAGAGCAGCAATATCTTAGCAAACTGCATAAAATCACTCAGTGCTGATGTCTGTTGTCAAGAGGCAACAAAAACAGTCCAAAAATTGATTAATGCATTCTTCAGTTCTGGTCAAAGCTCAGAAGAAATACTTGCCTGGATGAAAAGAGGGAGCTGGGGTTGATTAAAGGAAACAAGGGTAAAGAATCTCATGGTAGATGGGATGTGCAAGCTCTCAGGATTATTTAGTGAAAAGTAGGCCAAGTTCAGACTTTGTCTAAGTCATCTGACCTTTGTTATGGGAGAAATTAAAAGTTACTCTGTTCAAATGAATTCAGCATACTGGCCAGATTTTAAGTCTGTTGATTGCATTTTCCTTGGCTTGGTACTCAGCAAATGTCTGAACTGCTGCAACTTCAGTTATTTTTGCTCCAGCCCTGAACTGTGTTCTGCAGTGTCAGACAAAAGAAATAATTCCACAGTAGTTGTATTTAATTTGTAAAGTGGATTGGCACTATGATTGTGGGCATCTAAAAATCTTGAAAATACTGATAAGAAAGTGATAGTGTTAGTTACATGAAGTACAGCCTGCAATCTATATAATATATAGACTGAAGAAGATAATGAAATAGTGCAGCACTTTCCTCATGTGAATGACGTGAATCCAAGGAAGTTTTAGTTTTGCAAATCCTCTGAATATTTTTCACTTAAGTTGTAATAGGAGGACCTGAGGAAATGCATAATTTGGATTTAAGTTTGAAGTGACACCTTTACATTTATAGCTTCTTGCTTCCTTTGAAGATAGGAGAATCCTGAAGATGAGTTTATATAATTGTTATGCACCACAGGATAAAAGTTTTGGGTGAAATCCAGTCCATCTCTAATGTCTCTGTAGCTTCATCCATCTAGATGCATGATGAAGCAGTTTTCCTAAAGTCTGTAGTTAACTGATAGACTTTGATAGGTGCTTTGGAAGGCTTCCCTGGTGAGATCCTGCCTCCTACACTTCTGGCATCCAAGGTGGGTGGCTACAAGTTTCCTTTGAGGGGCCACAGAGACACCACTCTCCCCCCATTAGCTGTACAGACAGGCTCTGACAGTTGCAGGACAAGTACATGAAACGGAGCACAAGAACAGAGTCACTGCCTCAAGTGAGCTACCCCCATCAAAGGAAACAGCAACCATTTTGGTTGCAAGCTGCAACCACCCTGGCATTTTATTTGTCCATACATTACCATAATGAGTTCTCCCTTTTAGAACAAAAGTGGGGAGGATTTCAACCTCAAAGGGAGGTTTGTAAAATTGAGGAATTCTGCCCGTAACACAGCCAACTAAAGACTTAGGTTCCTCTAGTGCCTGCTGAGTTAATAGGGTCTCTAAGAGCACGGTCTCCGGCCTGTAGAGGGCATACGGCTCCTCGGTTTTCCCTGCCAAAATGTACGTGGAATAGGGAGAAACTGTTGGAGCATATATCAAAGTATTCTTGTAGGCACATTGCTGGACTTGATGAATCAAGGATCTCTCCAGTAATGTGAGGTTACCAAAAGTGTAATTTCAGTGGAAGAAGCTGGACTCTTTCCAAGCATCCACGTATCCATCCATCAAAGTAGATACTTTACATAGGGAACACTGAAGCCTCTCCAGGACGTGTGTCCAGCAGGAACGTGCTGTGGGTACTTGTGCTTCTTAAGAATCATCTGTTTTCATTTGTGTCTCCATTTCCAGAGCTCCCAACACAGTGGCTCCTCTACCTCATTAGCATCCACCAAAGTTTGCAGCTCTATGGATGAAAATGATGGCCCTGCAGAAGGTAACATTTGGAGGCTGACATTACAAAGCAGTCAGTGTAGTGATAACAGCAGCTGTGTAGGAAATGAGTCATTCTTCCTGCCAGAGAAGGTGGGAGCATTACAGGCTGGATAATTTTCTGTGAGGAAGCTTCTCAGCCTTAGCAAACCAGTTAGGTTCACTCTGGATCAGAGTTGACCTGGACATCACTCTTCAGAGGTATTTTTATTGTGGAATACTTGAGGTTTTATTTCTGTATGCAACACAGTACTGACTGGCTTATTTCAGTATTTTTGTCTCATCTGCCGTGGTACTAAAGAACACACTGCAGTCCTGGGTCTTTACTCAGAAATGGATAGTCTTATTCCATGCTAAGGCTTTGAGCAATTTGGCTAAGGGACAAGGTCTGCTCGAGCACTGCTGGCTCACACGCACATCTACGTACGTGTGTGTGTATCTGTGCTCCTGTTGGAGAACAGCTCTTCATGCTGCCTGTGAATGCAGACAAACCCCAGCCTCCTTGTGTCCTAGCATTCCTAGCATTCACTTTTAATACTAAACTAGAACAAAGGACAGAGTAATACACAGTTAAATGCACTGTCTTAAAGATCGTAAACACAAATCACATTTCTGAGAGGATATTTTTTTTACATTACAATATTTATATAGCAGTTTGTATCAGCTGCAGTTTACAGTCAGCTTTTAGAGGCATGTTAGGTATTTGTAACACTATTTCAAATACATTTAAAAATAATAGTACAGGAATGAGCACTAAAACACATTAAACTACAAGCTTCTTGTATGCTTAGACACTGTGTAATGCAATTTTACCTAAACATCTGGTACCCAGGTTGCATGTGAGGTAGTATTATTGAGAACATTTGTTTAAAAACTAAATATTTGATATTGGGGGATGGGGAGAACTAGCACTTAGCACATGAGGAGTTTTATGGATGTCTCAGTTTACAGGATGTAATAAAATAAGTGCTTGAGTGTTGGACTTCTTTGGTACATATATTTAATCATGCTGTGTCAAGGAGTTCCAGCCCTTTTTGGAGGCTGGTCTGCGCTTGTGCAGATCATAGAGACATTTTTGTAATTAAAAAAATACAATTTTGGTTTTGTCTTGGGAGCATATTGCAATAGCAACTATATAACACTCAAATGGTGGTATGTTTGAGCCCCCAGAAGTCTTATTTTTCAATATTGTATCTGCATGAAACCTGTTGAGTACATACAATGTCAGCAGCATGGTTTCACTGTACAGTAAGTGAGATACTGACTGAATGGTTTCCAGTCTCCTAAACTGTGGACTTAAAATGCATGTTATGTGCAACATCTGTGTTTCCTTCACTAACAATAAAAATGTACTAATGATTCTTTCAGAAGTGTTGGAGGAAGGTTTCCAGGTCCCAGCGTCAATAGCAGAGCGATATAAAGTTGGAAGGACTATAGGAGACGGAAATTTTGCTATTGTGAAGGAGTGTATAGAAAGGTGAGGAGGATAACAAGGTTATTACTGTAAAAAATAATTATTAATGTCATGTTTTTTCCAGATCATATCTTTATTTATGGAATACAGAAATGTAATAAGGTAATGTCCCAATGCCAGATGGAAAAACTAATGTCCTCTCAAATTAAAAAAAGAGTGAGTTCAAGGGGCAATCTATAAATTTAATTCTTTGTGGGGTTTATATGGGTTTTTTCTGCTACACTCCACATGATTTTACCAATTCCTTGTGTTAAATCTTCCTTGTTGCACTGAAATAACATCTTTTCTTGCAGTATGTTCTTGCAATGCTCCTTTTACATTAGACCAGTGGAACATTTAGTGTATAGCAGCACTCTGTAAAGATGTCAGGAAGTTCTCTGTTTGGGGTGTAGTGGCAATGGTCAGCACAAAGAAGTAATTTTGGATCCATCTATTCTACCATCTGACACTGAGGTGTAGTTTCTTCCATATTTATTTTTAATTTAATGGACATATAACTCCTGCTTGCCTGCTTTGTGCCATTATATTTGCTCCTTCCAACTTTATGAGCCTCACTGCAGACACCAAAATCTAACTTCTTCAGTGACCTTTACCGTTAAGAGGTGAAAAGAGTCATTGATTTTAGATGTCTACTCCATATTAGAGAAGTCACAAGTCACCTCAAGTGTCAATGTCGCTGAAAATGTCCAGGTTGACTATTCATGTGTCTATTTCTAAATCTGTTCAGGCTTGAACTGGCTCTACCCAACCTTAAGAGTGTAAAAAATAGGGAACAAAGCAGGAATGCTCTAAGCAGAACTGTGCTTGCCTTTTAGTGGTATTGTTAAAAATAGGACACTATGGGATATAAAAGACAGAAGGCATTTCACCTGTATGTGAAACGACCATAGGATTGCTCATGTTAAATAGTGGCATTGCAGACAAAGCAAAAAGCTGCTGGAGCTGGAGATGTCCAAAAGAGAGGACACTAGAGATGTCAAGGTTTGAAAATGAAATTTCATCATTTAAGTTTTCTATCCCCTATTACCATATCCTGGAGAGGAGACTCTTACAGAAGACTATAACTTCACCTTTGGGCTCAAAGGTAAAACTCTTCTTTAGCCTGTAAGAATATGATATAAGCCCTGGAGAGTGAGATTAAATCTCCTGACAAACAATGATAAATTAGCTTGGCTGGTTTTAAACTAGGCTCCTTGGAAAAATACAGGTCCACCTCTGCATCCAAAAGTGCAGCTTGGAGATCATGAAGACAGCTGTTTCAGAAAAGGGTGAGAGTGGATTTCATGTCAGCTGACAGTGTGCTTGTGGGACTTGGCCAAAGTTCTAGTGAGTCCTTTAGTGTTCTGCCAGAGTTCTTGGTGGAGCTGGTCATCCAGAGGGCAATAGCTGCTCAGATCAAACCTTGGGGTCTGAGCACTCAACTGTATGGAAACCTAAAGGAAGCAAAGCAAAATTGTATGAAACAAAGGAAACACTGTAAAACCCTATGGAGGGACATGACTAATGAAATAAATGGGTGAAATAAGAGACAAAAGCACCTTAAGGTAAAGGGAATAATGACTGGGAAAAGCAGATTAGAAGCTAAAATAAAGAAAAGTTGTGGTTTTAATAAACTCATTCAGCTGAAAATGCAATTTGTGCTGAGAGACAGTATAGATGTGCTAGTGTGCATGTCACAATTCTTTCCCAAACTGAGAGAAAATACATGAACAGAATTAAAAGTAAGTCCCATCACACCTAAAAATAATGCTGATTACAATATCCTGGAGAGCCTGAATGAAAACTGTTTCCTGTCCTCTTGTCTATCCCACCAATCCCAGAAGTATCCAGTAACATGGTGTGTCTAATGTACTCAAATAGCATTTTTACCCAGTTATTCCCAGATATATGGACTTGTGGTCTCTGGGCTATACCATTCCATAGATCCCATTTCTATCAGAGCTACTACTTTTGGAGATCTTGAAAACTAAAGTGTAATTGTTTCTGTGAGGTTATACTTCTAAAGCAGTATGTCCTTCCCATCACAAGTGTGTAAGGAGGGTAAATTATACCAGTACCTGTGAAACTCCTTCAATATTCTTTTCAGTCTTTTTAAGCCTCTTTAACCTCCTCACTTCAAAGTCTGATATGTCCATCATCTGCAGAGCCAGAATTAATTGGGTGATACCTGGGACAGAGAACTTTTTCATTTTCTTGTGAAGTACAATTCCTGTGTGCATTAGACTTCAAAGGAATAGCACCATAAGGTGTTAAACAAGTAGGAATGGGTCTTGCTGCACAAATTCACTGGTCACATGAATACTCTTTCTCCATATCAGTGAGATCAGTCTGTGAGCACTGGTTAATACAGGTTTGTGATCACTTCGATACATTCACAAGCGTTTTCCTCTGACAATGAACAGTCCAAATAGAAATCAAAAACCATCTCCAAAATTTTCACATGAGGAATTCTAAATCCCGTTTTGAGCATCTGTGAATGTACAGGCACATACCCTTAAATACATTTAATGCATGCACAAATACAACAACAAAGATAGACTTTTGTCTCCAGTGCAATCTAAATCTCCATGAAGTTTGCAAAAGTTTTAAAAGCCAGGGAACACAGCACCAAGCCCTGTTATGAGCTAGAGGTACAACTCTGTGGTAGTGCAGTGGGTCCAGACTCCTGTCTAGCCATGACATGTTGCCTTCTTTTTGTAGTCCCTTTTTATTTTTTGGAGTGAGCAAGAAGTGAGAGGTACACTGGTGCCTGTTTCACAGTGACTTTCTGACATGGCCATGCATATTTTTTGGTGGTGTATAAGTTGCAGTGCTGCTGACAGGCCGCGGTTCTGCAGCTTTTCAGGGGAAAGGATTTACATTATCTTAGCTTTAATTTTCTTTTTACCAAAACAAAGAGCAGTCAGAGTTGTCATCTGCTTGTTACATATCTGCTCTAGCGTATGCACAATTTGTCCTGCGGTGTTTTCATATGTGTTCATTTTTAACTTTCAGATACTTTCAAATGCTGACATTTCCTCACTAGATCACATTTCCCAGTGTCTTGGAGTACATGGAGTCTCTCATGGCCAACAAAAACCATCAATTTCCTTTCTCATGACAGAAAGGAAGCATTCCTAGGGCAACCAAGCAGCTTAAAAGAGACTGCTATTGAAAGAGGCTATATTTTGTCTGAGTTTGAACCCCAGATATCTTAATTTCTAATATTTCTTGTTCAACCTCCTTCTTCTAGTCCCAAAAATAGTGTCCAAATCTCTTCCTGCCCCCTCACTGGGCTTGGATTGTAGCCACTGAAGAGTAGCACTGGAAGGGGGCATCCTACAGAGTGTGCAGCCCATTCTGGGGGGCTGTAGCACTAAACCTCTGTGTGGGAGAGTACAAATAGGAGAAGTTTTTTATTTTTATTTGCATAAATCTTGAACAGATATGCTGTAATTCCCCCCCCCCCCCCACATTCATAAACCTTCTTATTTTGTGTGATTTATTTTAATGAATGTCCTAATAGAGACAGTTTTAGCTCTTTGCCTGGGAAGGTAGACAGAAGGAATATTTTGGTGGTATTTATTGAATTATCAATTTTTCCTTAAATTATAAATTGGTGGTACATCATTGCCAGAGGAGTTCTCCATGTTTTAATATAGAAATGAAAATGCCCAGTTGTTTTCCAGACACAGTGCTTTCAGTGTATTACTCACTTTGCATGTCCTGTTTGACAGACTGAGCACACTTTTAGACACATTAATGTCTCTGTTGAACATACTCTCTATCAGTTTAATATATCAGTTTAACTACTGTCTTTTGTGAAATGAGGAATAAAAAAAGACCCTGTATTCTTGAAATGTTTTTTTTCTTAGTTTTTAACCAAGCATGCCTAAAGGCAATGTAATAGACATTTGTAACTTGTTTAGGCTTGTATTACAAAATGAAAATATTTCAGTAAGATCTTTTTCTTAAATTATCCCTTTTCTATTTAATCTTATAGTGAAACTGGGGCTTGTAGGCAGAGCTTCTTGTTTTCATTCTTTCAGCCATCTTCTAGTTTTGTAACTTAAGAAATGGAAGTTGATACTTGTCTACAAGCTAATTTTTCTGTTAGTATTCTAGATAATAGATATATGTAGTAGTGATAAATATTATAAGGATACAAAACAACACAGTAGTTAAAAGGAAATGTCTTGTCATCTTGAACTAATTTCTCTTACTGTCTCCAGAACCTTCCACATTCTCGCTAAAAGCCAACATATTTAACTTTGCTAAATATCCTATAATTACTGAATACATAAAAAATTATTCCAAGGACTGACATTTTTATCATAGCAGTTGTGACTGCAGATATTCAAACAATTTCGTTTTAATTAAAAATTAAGTAAGAATTTTCCATGGGTTGTATTTTTTGTAGGATAGAAAACAAAATTTCTTTGTTTTGAAAATATTTGAGCCTGTGAACACTGTATGGTATTTTTACATAAAAATGACATATAAAAATTCTCATTAGAAAATGGAAGAAAAAGTCAAGCAATTTTTTTTTTGCTTAGAAAACACTGAGATGCTTTCATTTTAAAACAAAAAAGTTGCATGTCTTTTTCTCAAGCATGTATATTTAATAACTTTGGCTCCATTTTAAAATACTAGTCAAATCTAAGCTTTGTTTCTTAGAAAAAAAATAATATTTTACTAGAACTTTTACTACACTTATTTTATATATATATATATATATATATATATGTATATATATATATATAACAAATATAAACTCAACTGAGAAAAATATTCAGTGTGATTGAACATATTTTTTTCTCTTTCCTCAGATCAACTGGTAGAGAATATGCTCTGAAAATAATCAAGAAAAGTAAATGTAGAGGAAAAGTAAGTACAAAAAAATACGAGACCAAAAGACTATTTTTTCCAAGAAATTTTTTGTGAGAGATCATTTTGAGAAGCTGGTATTTGTGTACTTCCTGACAAGTGTTTGAATCTCTTTATTTGAAGTCTTTGCCTACCCTCTGAAGACTCTTGGAGTTTCAGGAGAAAAGGCAGTTATGTGCTGTTCTAGACTTGTGCAATGATTCTCCAGTTGGTTGCTTGCGCGTGACTCCTTTCACTGTATCCATGTAATTATGTCCTCTAGTTTTCATAATTCCAGGTGTTATAGAAAGCAGAAAATAATACAAATAATTATAATAATGCTGGTCACTGTGTGTAAGGCATAAGTTAATTAAATTGATGTCAATTTTGCACCAAGTGACTGTTAGCTTTTAAAATCAGTAACAAAAGGTTCTGTGAGAAGATGCTATGATGTTGTTAAATCTAAAGATTCTGCATCAGAGAAAATTTTAAAAAGCTTTCATTTTTCTCTGCACCAGAAACACATCTTTTCTTCCATTTCTTTTTCTGTGTTCTGCTCTCTCTACTTTCAGTTACCACATTGATGTTTCTAAACATGTTCCTTCTCTGTTGCTGGAGGCAACATCTATTAGTTTTTTCAAAAACCCCAGAGAATCTGTGCAGCTCCCAATTCTCTCTGCTTTTTCTACTGTGAATTTTTTTCCCACTAACCCATATTCATTGAAGATTTTTTGTGTGCCAGGAACACATGATCCAGAATGAGGTATCTATTTTAAGACGAGTCAAGCATCCCAATATTGTACTTTTGATCGAGGAGATGGACATGCCAACTGAGTTGTACCTTGTCATGGAACTTGTAAAGGTGAGTATTTTGGAGTAAAGCTGCTTATTGTATCAACCATATTGAAAAATTCCATTCCTGCTTAGGTTTACTGAAAAACATGGGATCATGGAATAATGTAAAGTGGCAGAGCTCTCTTAAAGTGGTCTAGCATCCTACTGAAAGATGTGTAATCCACTGTCAGATTTTTTTTTTTAATTAGCTTTCAAATATTTGTCTAACTTCCTGTAAGCCACACTTGGAAACGCTCCTTGACAGTACTTTGTATACCACCAGTTTTGTTTGCTTCCTCAAAAGAAAACTCGTTAAAAATTTATAATCTGCCTTGAGGTGAATTGAAAATATACCCAGTCCAAATAGCCATGAATACCAGCCTTCAAAATATGAAAAGGTGAAAGGGTTTCATTAGTTTTTATTAATTTACATTAAATCTAAACAATATTAAATGTGTTTTTTCTCTATTGATTTATATTAACACAGTGTCAAACTTGCCTCCTCAATAGTGGTTCTATTCTAAAAAGTAAATTTGCGAATGCAATAATTTATATTTTGGACCCTATTTATTTCTTCACAGTGACTTAGAGAAAGCACTTTTTGGAAAACAGGATTGTTAATCTGCTTTGCTCTGGTTGTAGGTGGAGGTTAGAAGGTGCCCTTAATGTAGGCACCTCATTGAGATGTTAAATAGGGCAATCCCAGGTCCAGATGTTTTTTAAATACCCTTTCAGTCTCTGGTCTGGAATATAAAAACAAGTAGAAGGTTTTTGGGTTTGTTCCATTATCCCCCAAGCAGCACCAGTGACACTAGCCATATTCCCAGTCCAAAGATGGAAGACTCTGTGTGCCTCACAGGTGGGTGCCCACAGATTTTCCCTGTCCTCATAGCAGTCTGGGAAAGAAAGTCTTGTCATCCATGAGAAGCTCAGGCCATGCCCCACATTTTAGGAGATGACAACATTGTCTTCATAGGTTTGCGCCTGACAGATGCCCTATTTGGCTTGAGTAGTGCTGTGGAGCTTATGGTCCCCCTAACACCACTGTCCACCATCTCCAAGCTCTGAGGAAGCACACTAGGAGATACACATACTAAGGAGCTGACATATTTTTTCTGATGAAAAATTTAAATCCTAAGACAAAAAAAAATACTGGCACTCTTTCATGCCATGAATCCCTTTGTGTAACCAGTCCCAGAATAATTTCCCCACTCCCTTGGCAATCACAGCCTTTTCTCACTCTTAGGTATGCAATGTGAAATAGCACAGCTTGAGATCAGATACGATTAGCCATCTAACACTATTTTAATCATAATTACTGCTCTATTCTATTCTATTCGATTCGATTCGATTCGATTCTATTCTATTCTATTCATTTGTGAGCTCACTATGAGATCCATAGTGGATATAATCCAAACAATACCAAGAAATCTTGCTATTTCCAATATTTCCAACAGGAAAACCAAATACTGTTGGTTTTCCTCAGTGTCTGTGAGAGCTTGTTCAAAGGTACCTCAATCTCCTTGCACAGCACTGTAATCACATGTATCCACAGCTTTTAGCCTGCATTGACAAATCCTTCATCTTAGCCCCATGAGGTGTGCTAAGAACTAAAAGCTGTGCCTTGTCTAACCTGCCAAGATATAAGCACAGAGCTGGTTTTATGGGTGAAACCTGCTGTGCTATTCATGACTGAAAAATGTGTAAACTGTAGTGTCCAATGGATTTTTAATTGAAGTCCTACTCAGCTAAATGAGAGAGGAGGGAACAGAAAACTCTTAGAAAACAATTAGAAAATAAATGTTAAAGATGTACGTTAAAAAAAAAAAGCATTGTAGTCACTTTCTGGAGAAATCTGGTTTTTTGTGCTCTTTCTTCTTTACTTTTAAATATTGCTGCACATATTCTTACAGCTGTATTATGGAAGGGCTCTATAGGAATCTGTACTTCTCATCTCCTAGAGAGCATTGTTCTAATCATCTTTACTTTTATGTAGAATAATAGAAAAAATGTAGAAGAAATAACCTTATTTGGGGAAATCAACTTTGTTTCTCTGGTACAAACATCTATTCCTTAATACATAGTTGGAATAAAAGCCTTGTTGCACTCTCTGGGTACTAGGGAAGGCATTTCTGGAAAGACATTAATTGTTAATTCACCAATTGCTGACTGTTACCATTTCATAGCGTGCACTGTTAGAATTGATTAACCATCTGTTATTGACTGACTTTAGAAGGCCTGCCTTTAAATCAAACTTACAGACAGGAAAGAGAGGCACGGAGAAAAGGTTTGATAGTGCAGAGCCCGGTTTCAGTTAATACCACCCTGCATTAATTGGCAGTAACATGTTTGACATAAGTGACTGCTGCAAATCCCACCCTCACCTCATGGCAGATAGGCCATTCATTGCTTTGTAAAGTGTAAGAAAAAGCACTTCATAAATACAAATATAAACACATTGCAAGTGGTGCTTGTAAAAGGACGCAAAGACCTGGTTTCTGGCACATTGCCTTTTTACACAGCGAAACAAAATTGTTATTTAAACCTAACAGGGGTTTGGCCAATTTAAGAAGCAAGATTTATTGCTGAGTTTCCTTTACTGCTCCAGGATATGATTTCACTTTTGCAGAAGAAAAACAGAGATCAAATCATTTACATAACAAGGTAATAAATAAATAATTGGTTACTGTAGTTCCAAGTACACTTCCTCATGTGCACAGATGATAAAAACTGCATTCAGATGTTGCTGGTCCTGTTTCATTCCAGAACAGGGGATTTAAGACTGAAATGTCATCCTGAACTCACCCCTGGTGCCTGAATAAATGATAGTGACCTGCTGTGTGAATCGGCTTAGCAGAACCTTGCAGGTTAAAGTGCTCTTTGGGGAGAGCAAAGTCTGAAAACAATTCTGCCTGATAGAGCTGTCAGCTCTGTTAACTCTTTCCAGGATATCACCTCTCCTTTAACCACAGAGAACCCCGTAGACTAAATATATGCTCTCTTTTCTTAGCAGCATACCTGGTAAGAAACTTAACCAACTACAGTATGCTTAAATGGAGAAAATTATTCTGCTTCAGATTGGCTTGACTGTCTGTTAAATTACTCTGCAGTCTCTATCTTTTTCTGAGTTTAAATTTCTCCTATGCATGAACATTTGTTCCTTTTCTTCTGACTTTGAGCCAAAATTTTTCCTTCTGTTTTTAAGGCTCAGCTTCTTTCATTCTTGCTCCTCATATCTCAGCTCAGACTATTTTCTTTGTTTGGAGGCAGATGCTTTGCCGATGTTATTGACACTTCTTCTGAGCATCTGGAACATATTAGATAAGACCAAAGATCTGTCTAATCCACTGCCTCATGTTAAAAAGCAGCTGGTACAGGGGTTTCACAGGAAGGAGCTTAGGGAAGATAGATTATTTATCTCACATACTTTGCCACATGCTGATATCTAATACTTAGGGATCAGATAATGCCATGAAGTACATGGTATTGTACTTTTGCCAAATATTTGGCCTCTTTCTCTCTAATCCTCTATCTGGTTTAGCTTGGCCTTTTGTTCTTCCTTTTCCTTGACACTATGTATCTTGATGTGTCTTGAGCAGTCACCAGCCAGGGCAAGAAGTTTGATGTGGTCCAGATTTAAAAATGGTTGGCTGTAAGCAATTTCCAAAGAGCTGGGATTTTGTATCTACAATGGGAATAAACCTGCCCTGGCATACTTCAGCTGCACCTCAACAATGCAAAAATTTTAATAGTTTGGTTTTTTATAACTAGTAAAGTCTGTTTTACCAGGTTTGAGTCTTTGGTGGCTCTCTTTTCCTACTGTTTTTTCTGTGACCATGATTCCTGGAATTTTTTTTTTTCTTTCCCCTCTGTCCTCTTTTCTCTGGAAAGTGGAAAAAGTGTTTACTCTGGAGTTGAGCTTTAAAAAAACCCAGAAAATATCTTGAAGCTTTTGATAAAACTATGAGAGTCCCAAAGTGGGGGCTCCTCTGTTGCCTTCAGAAAATACCTTCTTTTTCTTTTAAATACAGACCTCTCTAATTTTTTTTTTCTTGATAATTTGACTGCAGCAGGGAACTTTTGCATTGCTTTTGCAGTTATCCTTTGCCTTTTTTTTTTTTTTTTCTTTTTTTGGTTCTTGTTGGACTGTGTTTTCTTTGTGATTTTGCTTTGATTTTGGCCAAGGGCCAAAATCTCTGAGTAGAATCTCCCTAAAGAGATCACTGTTTTTTCCTTCAATCTGTCAAGCTCCCTTCTTAATCTCATCTTTAAAATTACTCTTCCATCTTTGTCCAAGCACTTCCGTGTTCCCTCTCCCTACTTGCCAGCTCACCTCTGGAAATGTGGCTGCCTCAGACGCTGGTGAAGATCATTTCAACTTTGAGGACTTCCACTTAGTTATCTTTCTTTTCTTTTTTCCTTCTTTCTGTCTCATTTTCTTGCTTTTCTCTCACTGACAGCAGCTTTTAGTTGAATTAGGCAGTACGATGAGCTGAAAATTGCACAAGCAGCCACCTGTGTCTCCCAATATAATTGCCTGACATACATGCTGTAAAGTCCTTCAGTATTAACTGCAAGAGGCATCACACTACCAAAAACCTCACATCTCGTGTATAAAAAGTGGTTTCTAAAATCCATGTTTGCAAAGCTTTATGAGATGGAAACAGACTTCTAAAATATGATAGCAGTGAGGATAGGTAACTTTGAGTTCTGAGTTTTACTCAGAGTTCCTTCATCTTTCTGAGGTTCAGTTAGGCATTGGGCAAAAGTTTGTTGTCCATCTGATTGTGATGATTAAGTGCCAATGGCGTCATGATATGCAAGTATGTATCTTGCCAGACATTTGTAGCAGGCTCTGAACACACAGGTTGGCAAGTGCTGGACATGTTACAAAAGCAGCAGCAGATGGGAATGGTTTGCAGTAGAAACTCCAGCCCCTTGGCTGACCAACTCAGCCATGACCAATGGTTCTGAGTTATTGGTCTCTTTACCTGCCATTATGGGAGATGTCATCATAGTACCCACAGTTTATAGCTTCAAGGAAACTCTGCTGCTCCCTTCCCCTCCTTCTCCTCCTTCTATGCAAATGTTCCTTGATCTTCCCTAAATTTTTCAGTCATTTCACAAGCAACGTTGCTCATATCCCATGGTAATTTTGCTCCAGGGAGGAGATCTTTTTGATGCTATTACTTCAACCAACAAATACACAGAGCGGGATGCCAGTGGGATGCTTTACAATCTGGCCAGTGCCATCAAATATCTTCACAGCCTGAACATTGTCCACAGGGATATCAAGCCGGAGAATCTACTGGTAAGTGAAGATTCATCTTTCAGTATTGCTGATAACTTTAGAGTGTGTGAAAAAAGGTCTGCACTTCCTCCTTTCACATGCCTGCCAAGCTTATTTCAGTTTTTTAAGTCGCTGTTCTTTTAATTTTAACCTTTGCATTGTAAAGCTCTCCTAAGATTAAGCTGTCCCAGGAAGTACAGTAATGTAAGTTTGTATGTCTAGACTGTTCCATAGGACACAACAGCTGAGTAGTGGGATCACTAGAAGTAAACTTGTAGTAAACTGCAAGAAAATTTCAAGCTTCTCATAAATATAAGTGTTCTGTCCTCAGCAGACTATTCTGTACTTCTGTCACTGCCTAAATAATTAGCAACCCTTTAGTTTTACAAATATGGTGCATGTAAATGCTGTGTCCTAATCATGTCACACATCAGAGCAGAGCCAGGAAGAGACTTCATTGCCCTCCCCCTACTGCATCTCCCAAATCTATAGCACTTTTTATTAAGCTGCTTGTACAAACCGACAATCTAAATCTTTGTTTTTCTGACTAAATCTATGTGAACCTTATCCACTGAAGACCATGAAAAATGTACCCTGGCAATTAGTCTTCTGAGAATTTTGCACACTTGGATGCAGCAGTTGCATCCTCCACGTAATTTTATTTCTCCTGAGAAATTAGCTCCTCCTGATTATTTCACTGTTCTGAGTTTTCACAAATTTGCTGACATGTTCCAATGTCAGGATGTCCCAATTCTCCATATATTCTGCAACTGTAAAACAATGTTTGTAGAAGCATAGAGTATCAGTTCTCTCAGCTGTGTGCTCTCAGCCATGACTTAATGCATTTAGTCCTGCTTGATAATGAAGAGGTTTTATGGGAAAGCTGACTTCAGCAGATATTACTAAACTTCCAGGCAGTGGAATTTTTACAGCTGAAGTTCCTCTAGTGGCAGGTTCTGGGTGAGGAAGTGACCTGCCCTCATTTTCCAGAAACTGCTGAAAACACACTGGATGGAAGTTTCACTAGACACTAATGACTGATACACCTTTCTTGGCCCTTTTACTCCATTTTAATTTCTGGTGCTGGTGTTGATAGGTGGCTGCATGCAGATATTGTAGCAATCCCATGCCAGGATTCATTAATGCTGTTCCTGGAGTGTGGAGGGTCTTGGTCTGGAACAAGCTTTGCTCTGCTGCTGTCTTGACTTGTCTGTAAATGCCTAAACTCTATTGTTGTCAGAGTTAAAATTCTGAGGGAAAAGAGATGGTCAGGAGGTATGGGAAGGAGGTGAGGACAGCAGGGCAAGGATTAGATTTGCCTGCTCAGCTTTTCTGGTAATTACCCACTAATGGGAATGATCACATTGTTCACATTGTAGCTGAATTATTTCTGAGTGACTTTTCCAGAATTATGCATTGGTTTTGAGACTGAGCTGTGAGGATACAGAGTTTAATCTCTTGCAGCATCCTAATTCTCAAAAGCCAGCATTTGATTCACAAATTGCATTGATTATGTAAGGTTTATCAGGTCCTTGAAAGAAACAAGCACTGCTTTAGAAGAGTGATTTGGAACCAGCTTTACCTGAGCTCTGACCCTGATTCTGACATTGGCTGCCTGTGGCCTCAGTGTGTCTGAACCTTTCTGCTTTTTTCTTAGCTATCAAATGGGATGTGTGGTTCCCTATGTCACAAAAATGCAACTAGTGTTATTTTCATGGCATTTGCAAAACCCTTGAAAAATGCTACATGGATCTCAGCGTTTCTTTTGCTAAAGACTTTCCACTTGCCTTTTGTAGCCTGCCCTTTTCCTTGCAGCTCTTTAAGCCTTCTCCTAAGTGGTAATGGCAGTATTTTTCTCTTGTTCTTGTGCTGTGGCTTTCTCTCTGCTACTCTCACTCACGGTGCTGCACAGGCAAACCCTTATTGTGCTATTGCTGGTTCTCCTGGCCAGGACTTTGAGAATCAACCCTTTCTCCCCCAGCTTTTTCCTACTCCTGGATTGTAACTAGTTTTAGAGGAGCATGTCCTGAGGCTAAACAACCTCATTAGCAGCAAAAAGACAACAGGGAGGATGAGCAAGGGTGTAGAGTTGCAAGAGGAGAACACAGGGAGGGAAGGGGGACATGCTGCTCTGGAGAAGGAGACAGGAAGAGCGTATTCACCTGGAGCTGCTTTATTTCATCTCTCCCCGGCTCCTTTGTCTCTTTTAATTTTTCCTTCTTCCCAAAAGTAACTTTCAGGCTTAGAGCTGATGTGTGAGACCAGATCTAGGTCCCGCTAATAAATCTTTTTGTGTGTGAACCTGTCCTGTGTGCAGCACCCATTATTTTTTAGCTGCTTAAATATTCCACATCATCCTCAAAGCATGTAAAGTCCACCTAATGGTCAACTGTCCAAGAGTTTAGGGTGTGCTGAATACCTAATGATGTTTTAGCATTTTCTGTCTGTTTTTTTGTTCTCTAGGGAGTCTTCCGTGTTTTAATTGGAACATTTTTCATAATTGTTGCTATTTAGAACGTTTATTTTGTCAAGTCATGGGATGTCTTTATAGCCATATAATAAACCCTGGAGAACAACTTCTCTGACTGTTGCCATCTGCACTGATCACAAGAGCAGCTTAGAAAATACTGACAGTCTTTATACTAATAGGATACATATGGTGGCATACAATTATGTGTGGCTGCATTCAATTAGTGTAGTACAATTACACAGTTTTATAGCTTAGTTAAAACAGTGAAAGCACTACGTAGTGGGCAATTTGCACTAATCCCCATTTCTATAATTGCCCTTCAGTATTTAAATGCAGGAACATATATAGCATTTATTCTAAATAACATGAGCGTTAAATTATCTTTCCCATTCCTTGACTGGCAAGTAACATACCACAGCTTCACACTGGGCTCTTTTTTATATGAAGTTATAAAAGGGTGAGGAAAAGTTACTTTCTTCATTTTTACAAGTCAACTGAAGTAGTTTTCTGGGAAAAGTATTTCCTCTAAACAGATTAAGCAGAATACTAGAAAATACATTGTACCAAAACTTCTGCATTGGTAAATATTGCCAAACAAACCTCTTCTGTAATTAATTTCTAGTATGGATGACTCACACAAGGTGTGGTCTATTGAAGGAGGGAATTTACAAATGTTTACTAGGTTAGTACAGCTCAAAGAGGGCTATGTAGGAAGATAACTGCATGAAACAGAATATGAAATACTCATTAGGCCAGATTCAGCTCTTGATGTCCAAGTGCACACTTTACATACTTCAGCAAGTAAATATTTAAAGCCCTAGTCTCTAGACTTTAATTAAAACTGTTGTTGAAATTAGATTTATTACTGCCATTTCAGAGAGCACTTTCTTTAGTTTCAGGAACCAGATGTATTTGACAATCTGTGTTGTGAATAAAACCATAATTACTTTTTTTTTTTCCCAGTGCTTTTCTATAAACATAACTTTTTTCTGGCTTAGTAGAAGAGAAATGTGAATCCATTATAAATTGCTGGTCCTCTTAAAGATCCAGTTGAATTCTTAAAAATAACATAAGGAGAGGAGAAGAATTTTGTGTATTCTGAATGTCTGCTTGTGGCTGTATCACCTGGTAAGCAGGGATTCAGGACAGAGAGGGGTTTTCTCTCTAGACATGACTAACATTAACAGATAAGAAACTGGGGGATGGGGGCTGTATAATATAACTAATTAGTATGAGCTATAACAGTTCTGTAGGAAACTGTGGGGAGAGGCTTCAATAATTTACTTTTGCTCCAGGTAAACTATTCAAGGGTCCCATGGAGAATTTATTGTATTTTTATAAGAAAAAAAGATAGTATTTTCTTCTTAAAACAGTTAGGGTTTCTAAATGCTGTAGATAAATGTGATATTGGATGTAGGAGTAGCTGGTCAAGATATGCATATAAACAATTATTTTGGTTTTGATTAGGAAGTATGATACCTACTATTTTTGCACTGTTTTGATGCAAATTGTTTACACTATATCACTAGTGGTGATCCAGACTGCATAGAGCTTTGGTTTGGCTTGCAAAATAATAAACTGATGCATATATATTATAAGAAGGTCTCCTGTTGACTGTTTCCATTTTTAAGGTGCTGTCATAGAAGACATTCCAAAATGGCAAGCAAGGACTCAAACCAGAACATTGATTAAAGATAGATTTACAGTCTAGTGTTTAATTTAGATACAATTTTGTATTTTTAATTTTAAGCATTTTTTTTATTGGCTCTAATCTTAAAGGCACAGAACTTATTATATTGCATAGGCAGATGGTGGGGGATACAATACAGCATCATAAACTCACCCTAGGACATTAGTTTTCAGTGTTTACAGGTTTGGGGACCTTCTTTTGCTAGGAGCCAGCATTTAAAATTATGGTTTTTTAACTGATGTTTCTATATTTTTATTATTTTTTTTAATGTGGCTACATCTTAATCTCCCTTTTCACCCATAAAACCCCATGAAAGGACACACTGCCACTGTGAAGACCAAGTTTTAAGACAGGATTTTCACATATCCCCATTAGCAACCCTAACTGCTTATGTCCCATTGATCCCGACACTAGCATGCCAGTAAGAAACTCATTGGTATGTAAGAGTCATGCAAGGAGAGGACACTGTTTCCAGGGGAAATACTCCAGCCAGAGTCTTGGGGCTTCAGCATACAGAGAAGAGCTTGGAAAGTCCTATCAGTACAGTCACTTTTCTATTATCTAAGTAGTGGAAGTTCCTGTGCAAACCTTTAAGCTCTCTGCAAGTAAAATGAATAAACTCAACCCACCTACTGTGAATTCAGTAGAGAGTTGATGTAGGAAAGCCACTGCTGGAAGGTCACGCATTTACTTTTGGGCTTTAGCACCTAGCAAGTGGTATATCTTTTGTTGGACAGGTAGCAAGAAAAGTCTTTCCCAAACATCCTGACCTTATTTGAGGGAAGTTGTCCAAATTTTCTGTGAATTTTCAAAGCATGCAGAGAAATATGTTAAAGGTAAGGAGGAGGAAAAAAACCTGTAAATAAGAAGGAACATTTCAGGCAGTTAGCAAGTGGTTATAGTAATTGCCTTGATGGTTTTGTGGTAAAGCTTTCAATTTTCCTCCTGATTTAGGTTTATGAACATCAAGACGGAAGCAAGTCCCTGAAGTTGGGAGACTTTGGCCTAGCAACAATTGTGGATGGACCTCTATATACTGTCTGTGGGACTCCAACATATGTAGCTCCAGAAATCATCGCTGAAACTGGGTAAATCACTTGTAGTGGTGATCCACTGGTGTGTACTCAGTGGAGTGTATTCTTGCCATTCTGCCAGACTGGAGCTCTTGCAGTTAAGATTTTTATGCTGCTTTTGGTTGGCTATGATGCAGAATCATGGCTCATAGAGCAATTCACTTGGAAAGGACCTCTGGAGGCTATCTTACCCAACCCAGTTCAGAGCAGGCTGGCTTTGGAGTTATATTGGTCAGCCTGTGCCAGTTGTTGGCCTCAAACTTTTCAGCTTAACACTGAGTTACTAATTAGCCATTTGCAGATACAGTGGAAGTACTTCTATTCTGTAGAGACTGCTAACTACCATTCACTTAATTCTATTTCATTATTGCACACTGTCCTCTTCTAATTTGTTCTACAGAGTAAATACTTGCTGGCTTGAGCCACCTGTGTCACCTTTGCAGACTTCATGTTGACAGTCATCACTAACTCAAGTAAACTCCACTTGAATTAGATAGCTAACTGAAGAATATAGCCCAATGTCTTCTGGCCTACATTCTGGTCACACATTCTAATCTAATGTAATTTTTATTTTAAGATATAAATGTAAAAAATATTTGTTAGCAGAATTAGGATTGGTAGATAGACAAAGTTCACATGAGAATTTATAAGAAATTATTAATGATTCTGAACATATTTCCTCTGTTCTTGCACTGTAGTCCATAAGAATCAGATGTCTCTAACCATGTCTTTCACACTTCTAGATACGGCTTGAAGGTGGACATCTGGGCAGCGGGTGTGATTACTTACATCCTGCTCTGTGGTTTTCCTCCATTCCGTGGGTATGGACTGACCTATTCCCCCATCCTTGTTATGTGAATTGTCCCTGTGCTCCTTTCACATTAAGCACAGAGATTCCCACTGGTAGAAGTTCTCTGCTCATAGGGTCTGATGTTTTATTTCCTGTGCTCTGCATAGTGTTCTACACAAGCCCCATAAATGTCTGTGATTTTATGATAAAATCTGTCTTGTGTTTGTTTATTGTAGTTTATACTTCATTACATTGCAAAACAAGAGCCTTCATTACAGGTTCTGCGTGCCTTTGCCTCAAGGTTTAAGTACAATGTGAAATAACCATCTTCTTTAATGGACAAAATGCAACGTATTTTTTGGTTGGTAAAAGGTAATTAAAATGTAAGCTAGTTAATAAGGACATGTCAGATATTTTATCCCCTCAAAGCAATTGCAAAATTGTGGACAATCCTAAAGACAAGCAGAGAGAAAGAGAGTACCAAATGCACTGTGTTTTATGATCTCACCATTAACACCCGCGGCTGCATGTTTGGGGCAATCAACAGCTTCCAAAAGCATAGTAAGGCATAAGCAATGCAAAGCAATTTTAAGAAGTCTATTGAAACCACATCTGAAAATAATTTCTCTTTGGGTTTTGTTGTTGGTTTTCTTTGGTTTTTACTTTACAGAAGTGGAGATGACCAAGAAGTGCTTTTTGATCAGATATTGATGGGACAGATGGATTTTCCATCTCCATATTGGGACAATGTTTCTGACTCTGCAAAGGTGAGTTTTATAGTTGGTGCTATTTTCTTCTACAATATTATTTCCAGTGGGAGTGCCTAATGCATTCTAATCCTTTCATAGTGTTGTATTTGATATGTCTCATGTATTTCCTGCTACACCCAAAAATTCCTCTGGGTCAGCAGTTATGTTTCATTTGGTTATAGTCTCTTAGACTTCAGGTGGTTCTGAAATGGACCCCATTCTGAAGTGGACATCATATCTCTATGTGATTTCTCACACAACAGAGATACCAGCAGCCCTTATTGATTAAGAAAAAAATTAAACTAATTCACTTCCTAGCTCAAAAGCTCCCTTGCACTGTGCTTTATATGTACTTATGAAGGGACCAGGTACCGGCCTGGAGCCTTTGAACATTATTTAATAATATTGTGGAGAGTCTGATTTCCCTTATTGACCCAATTAGATGCTATGTCTCTTGTTTCTTCCTGTCAAAGAACCAGGCCTCCCATTGCCTTATTGTTGCAGAGTGGTATGAAATACAGACTTGTTCTGGTCACAGCTCTTGACCTGCAGTCTTTGGTTTGCTAAGGCAGATATAATTATTTACAGATACAGACCTTGACAGAGTTCATTATACTTGCAGAGCAGATCAGGTTTTTTAACTCTCACCAGTGCACTAGAGTAACAGTTTAACCCAAAGATTTTCTAGGGATCTAGTATTCACTGTAGTCATATGTATAAATATGTGTGGACAAAGGCAAAATAAATATGTACATGTAAAAAAGAAAAATTGGTCATTCTGTAGATAGATAAGTGCTTACTTTCAGTCAATTTACTTCTCTGGTCTGTAAGACAATCTAGGAAAAACTATCTCCCTGTTTCCTTCAGTGTGACAGTGTTTGATTAATCATGAGGAAAAAAAGTTAAATTTGGAGGTGGATGCAGGTAATGAGAGTAGCTCTGAATCTCCATTCTTTGGAGAGTTACATCCTGCTTTTACAGGTATGTGGAGGGTGATCAGGACTACCATTTTATCCTGCTAACTAATGATGTCAAAGAATGAGATACAGCCATAGAGTTGGAAGTCCTCTAAACCAAATCATTGTGTTGTAGCAGGCATTATTTAATAGCATCATTAGTGGGAACCCTGCAAGTCCTTTGCCAGTGGGTTTTCCTGTGAAACTCCTTCTGCTAAATAGTTCTGTCTAAAATTTCTGGTTTGAAGCCTTAGCCTATCGATTTAATTTTTTCTTGTAACTAAGAATTACTAGCTTTGGTCCTTGGTGACATACCTTTATTTGCTGTCATATTGCCATACTATTTCCATTCATTCCACTCTGAATAAAATAATCTGAGTAATTGCAGAGAAAATCGGAGGATAAAAAATAATGGTTTTAAGTGTTTTGGTGGTTTTTTTTAATATCTTCTATGTCATTTATACAAGGGTTTAAAGTAAAACTATATTTGATGGCTTTTTCTTTTCCTACAAAGGAATTGGCTTTTTCTTTATGGGAAGCTAACGTAATTTCATGGGGCCATCTGTTTTGCACATTATGTATTAAGTGCTTTTCTCTTAAACAGTGTCTTCAGAACTGTAACTCAGAACTGTCTTCTAGCTTTTCAAGGTACTGTCAGATACTGATTAAAATGTACAGCTGAGAGTTCATAGTTTTTCTATTTTTTGAATAATCTTAGGGTATTTCTGTAGTCAATAGTTCACTCTCTCTTGGAGCACTCTTACAAAATCAGTTAAAGAGTTCTTAATGTATGAAATATTGATTTGTTCTTTGAAAGTGGTCTTTAAATTCAACCCTGTATTCAATTTCTCAGGAACTTATCACAATGATGCTTCAAGTAGATGTAGATCTGCGATTCTCAGCCTTGCAAGTTCTTGAGCATCCATGGGTTAATGTAAGTATTTTCAGACTTGTAGATGCTTCTTGCAATTTGGCACCTTTGAACTCTTTTCTGTCAAGCCCTTGCTATGCCCTTTTGAAGGCCAGTATATTCTAAAGATGCCACAGATTTAACTGGAAATAAACTGGTTACAGACTGATTTTGTGTACCTTGGAGTTGCCACTATTTTGTGTGTGCTCAGCTACATTTTCTCTGAAATGGACTTTCAACAAAGCTCACTCCTATTTGATAAATGTATATCTCTAACTCTCATCTTGAAGGTTCAGTGACATATTTTATTCTTCTGAGATGAGGTGCATTCAAAAATCTTAGAGTCGTGATTAAGAGTTACTAAAATACAGTCCATACTGTTAAGCCTATTTGATCCAGAATGGAGCAGGGAAACATTTAGAATAATATTTAGCTTCTGATGGTATTTAAAATTTGTTAATTATTCCAGACTATTTAACATGTTTTAAAATATTTGTATGAAAAAAAAAAAATTTGGCATAATCTAATTTCAATTCAGAAGGATCAGCTGAGAAAAGAAACACAATTGGGATGAACAGTGAAAAACATACAGGAAGAGGAAATAATGTTTCATTTTGTTTTTTGCAAGTTTGAGGTGTGCAGTCCTTCCTGGAATACTCTTTGGTCCCCTAGCTGCTGTGCCCAAAATCCCTTTCTCACTAGAAGACTATTCAGAAAATTCAAATATACAGTCACCTCAGATATTAATTTTTTTTAATGAAAGTGTCCTCCATATAGAGTAGTAGTGATCACTTAAGTATTTTCCAAGGACATGTTTAAACTTGGAGGGCTTCCTTACTACCCAAACTACTATTTAAATTGTAAATGCTATTAACATGCAGAGCCAGTCTGTGGTGTATGAAGAGTGCAAGGATCCGGGACAATGTCTGATGAAAATCTTTTCATTTTGAAGATGACATTCAAGCAGCTGAAATTTTTTTTTTTCTTGGTGCCAGGGGCTATCCTTGGACATAGTGTTCTGTCACAGTTTATAATGCCTTATGGTGATTGAGGGGTCTCTCTGTCTCCATGGGAGGAGGAGATGTGGAGATTTCTGGAGTGCTGAAGAGGAAGAGATGGAAGTGACTGATCAGAGACCACAGAGAGGCCAAGTCACCACAGTGCCAACCTGAACATTGCTGCTGAGATTACTGAAATGTCACTTGCTTACACCACTTAAGGAAGTGGTCACTAATCTTCCATTTTTCATGAAAAATATATTTGAAATGTTAATGCTACCTCCCATAACAAATTTTTTAATTATTATGCCATTATGTGTTTTAGAAAAACATTTTAGTGTGATGTATAAAAAAGAAGAGGTGCAGCCCTTTGGCAGTAACCCAATGGTGGTGGCGTGCAAGTGACATGAGGATCTGCTTCCCTGCTCTCACCTGCTGGTGAGGATAGCAGGGGAGAGGGGCTGGGGGATAAAGACTTTTAACACTCCAGAGCTCTGCTAGAAAAACCTGAGCTCTAGTTACTGAAGCACCTTGGCAAATTCCTGAATTTTTGTGCAATAACATGTGGAACCCTTTGCCAGAAGCTGGTGTAGTATAAATGAATGCAAAAGAGAATTTAATACATTTTTGGAGGATGATCCCATTGGTGCTTATTAAAAATAGTGGTCTGGATGGAACTGTTGGCTCACAAAGTTCTTAAGTACTTGGTTGGCATGAACTAGAGGATATACCAGGGAAAATTCAAGATCTACTTGCTTCTATTAAATATACTACTTCTTAAAGAGTGGCTGTGATGCACTGTTAGAAACAACAGGCGGAGAACAATTCATCTTAGGTCTAGCTCTCCTGCACTTGTAGTTTTATGCTGGTAATAATTCTCTGCAATCAAAACCTGTAGCAGTTCTGTCTATAAGTAAGAGAAACAAATATTTCATGACAATTCTGTAACTCCCTTTTTTCTGCTGCTTTTAAAACTGAAACAAATCAGTATTTTGTCTGCATCATTACACTAGAGATAGTTCATAACGCAGATCAAAACTGCTTTTGAATTTTCTTGTGTCCTCCATATATTTATTTCTGGGAGGAAAAAGTCTAGCACTAGAACCAGTTCAGGAAAGTGCTTTAACACATTCCAAACATTGCTGCCATTTCAAGGCATCACACATGGAAGCACTTAATACTGGGCATCAAATTAACTAGATGGCATTACAATCCTAGCTCACATTGGAAGAAATAAGAACATGGCTGAGTTGAAACAGCTGCTTAAATGGTTCCATGAGAAAGGGCACTTCCCTGAAGAGTGTCTGGGCAGTATCAGTAGATAAGCTAGCAGGGGCAGCCTGTTGATGCACAGAGGCAGAATGTACAGTGTCAGATCCAACGACACCTGCCTCTGCCATCCCTCTTTGGATCAGCTGCAAGTCTGTCACACAGCCTCCCTGGACCTCATTTTCCCAGCTTCAGGACAGAGAATTAATGCACTCATTCCTGTTTAAAAAAGGATCTGCAATCTATGTGTTTTAATTACCTGAGCATTTATGTGTATACTGTCTTTCTGAGAAGAAATGGCACATGGAATTTTCACCTACACTCCATTTTCACAGGTAACCTGCTTAAATACTTTTCCATGGTGTCAAATGCTGGAGTTTACTTTCTCTATTCGTTTCAGCTTGGATAGAGCTCACTACAACACTTTCCTTACTTCAGTTTTGAACCTATTCAGAGTGTTAAAGCTGCAGCTAAAATACTAGATAGAACAGCTGGTTTGAAAAGCAGGCATGTGTTTTCTTTGACAATTTTAAGAAACATTTTCTCTCTTTGATCAAACCTTTGATAGAAGTGTTGTTACTGCTTACACTGTATAAAACCATTTTGTAGATTGTAAATAACCATTCTACTTTATAGCTGCTTATTATGTGATTACTTGGTAAATTGCTGAGATTCCTGGAATGTGCTTTGACAGTTTCAGTAGGAGCAAACCCTCATTTCAGTTTAAATTTTTGCTATAAAAATATCTGGATTCCTCTTGGAAACTGCAAAACTTGTTATGGTCAGAGTCAGACCAGTAAAGCAGTTTCAATGTGAATAATATCCCAGCTGTTTTCAATTCAAAAAAAAACAAAACCTGAAAAGCTGTTGGCTACATGCCACTACCACAGATGGAGATCTTGAATTCTAAATGCAATTCAGCAGCAGTTCTTTGCCCTCTCCATTTGGTTTATTTGGAGTCATCTCTCCTATGCGATACACTTAGACCTGGAAACAAATCCATTAGTTTATACTTCCCCTACAGGGACCCCAAATCTTTACCTGCTCAGTTTTTTTGCAGAGCCAAAGAATTATAAAAGAGGCAGGAAGCTTGAGGTCTGGCATTTTAAACTTTGATGTTATCGATAACCTGAAACAAGTTACAGGACAAACTCATTCCTCTTTGTATAAGTAGTAAATGTTTCCTAATACATCACAGAGCAGTGAATGCTGAAAGGGATGGCTTGCATTCTGTAAATCCTTCTCTGTTAAAATAATCAATATAAAATGTGTGTTGTTGCTGGAATAGGAAGATGACACACACCAGCCTAAAAAGAATTAAAGAACCTGGAGATTTTATATTTTTCCCTCACTATGTCTGTCTTGGAAATTTGTGTGCAAAAGAAATTAATAACAAAGAGATAAGTATAATTAAGCTAAACATTTTTAAGAAAATTAATTTTAAAATACATTCCTTATTTTGCAGCTGCACTACTTTTGGTTACACCCTAGGACATTGCACAAAAAAAATTCCTTAAATCCTTAAAGGAAGAAGTGTCCAAAAGCTTTTCCAGCAGTTCTATTTACTCTAATTTATTGCTGTTACTTGTATAATGATGTATTCATCTGACACTTTTAGACCTGGAAAGTAAAGCTCTTGTGACCATCTTGTGAAATGGATCTAAGTTCTCCAGGGCAGTGGGAGTCTGGGAATCCTGAGCTTCATTATATCTTTATAACACTTTGAGTGGCAATGTCTCCTGCCACGGAGAACAATGCAAATATGAAACCAGTTCTTATAAATTACTGGAATTTCTCCAAGACCTTGTGCCTCTTTTTTATTGTTTTTTATTTTGAATTCTTGTAAATAGACCATGAAAGGTATTTTGTAGAGGCTGATTAAAAAAACCAAACAAACAAACAAAACACCCCAAAACAAAAACCAAAAATATGTTACCATTCCAAGCAGTTCATATTATCTATGAAAACTCAAATTCTGGGCCAGGGTTTTCAAGCTCTTTTGACTGTTCAGCTTCTGAGGTGTGCACAGGAGAGCTCTACTTTCAGACTATTAGCAGTCAACATCTTCTGAAGCTCAGGACTCTTTACAGTTCCCAGATGGAGCAGCAAAAATCACTGGTCACCTTTTAAAAAATTCTTGTGATTAATTCTGTGATCCTAACCTAACGCAAAGATTTAAAATAGGAGAAAGGAACAGTTAACCTCTTTAGGGTTTGACATCCCTCCCATTTCAGCAACCCAATGAAATTCTTGCCAGCAGTGTTTACACTGTTCTCCAATTCTACAACTTTACCTGATGATTCTGATAAATTTCAAAATTTTTTCACTTCTTGACTTTCAAAACTGCAGAGCAGCTTATTTTGTATTTAGTTAAATAGCTGTCATCTCTCCCCCTCAACAGCTATCTTATTTTTTACTGAAGTAATTCTAGGAACCAGTTTAATATATATTGATTTGTTTATAAAGCATGTTTAAATAAAAGAGAACTACTAAACATCAGGTGGCACCAACAGTAGTAATAAAAACTTAGTAACAATAGAAGAATTCTGATATTTCCCTATGCTGCATCTTAATTGGGCTGGAAGGTATTTAACCTAAAAGCTGGAGCCCAAACTATGTGTCTGTGGCACATTGCCACTGGAACTGTGGGTGTGGTGCTTCACCAATAAAATATGACCACAGTCTCAGTAACTATTGTCTTGTCTGTAATTTAGTCTTTTGACAAGATGACATGAACGCTTGGCAGATTTTCAAGAAAGCCAAGAGAATGATTTTATTTTTCTTCCCTCCTCTCGTGAGGAGGCGTTCACTTTACAGACTAGCTTTCTTCTGGGAAAGGCAAGGTCAATGGGAAGCAGGTTATTTTTAGGGGTCATATACCACCGAGCCAGGACTCCCCAGTGATAGACAATAATCAGCTACTGGGCTGTATTGTTTTGTTTTGTGTTTTGCAGCTGTGTGCACTTGACCATATTTTGCCAGCTGAGACATTTTGTTAAGGGGTGAGTGAGGGATCTCTAAACACAAACTCCCCAAGCTAAATAAATAACAAACCCTACCAACCTCCCTAAAATTCCCATATGCTCATTGAACTCATGATTTACTGCAGCAGCTCTGTAACTCTTTAAGGGCACTCATAATGGCTGAAAAATAAAAGAAACAATTGTCTGTCATCTCTCACTATTCTGATATTTTTGTGTTTGCCTTTATTCTGCTAGGATTTTGCCTAAGAGAGTTTAAGAATTATTTCAGCTGTTTATACCTATACACACCATGCAGCACCAGTTAGGGATGACTCTGGCACATGGCCCTGTATATTTTGCCTGTTTTACATTTTGTTTCCTATTTCATGTATTCTGCGTATTTGTTGCCTGAAATCCTGTAATGCTGCTAGTGGGGCAGGTCTCACTGAGCAGTGGCTTTTGCAGGTTTTTCAGGCATAAGAATCTTCTCTACTACTTCTAAAAAAAACCTCTTTTCCTGGGCTTGAATTCAGACTGCAGACTTGTGCAAAACCACAAACTCCCTTCTTTCTGTCAGGGCTTCTGCTCAGCATAGAGGATGCCAGCATACCTAGGTGCAGGTATCCAAGTTTGCTCTGAAGTCTCAGCTGGAAGGAGGAATGTCTCAGCCCAGCCTCTTGCTTTTTTAATATCTTGGATACTTTTTACCTTTGAGGTCATTATCATTAAATTTGTGTGATTAGTAAAGAGAATCTTGAAGGCATCTGAAATCTTCAGGTTTTGAAATATCAATGGGCATAAAAATAATAGGGTAGTGATAATTAATGAAAGAAAATGGTAAAAAATTGTAAGAAAAATGCAATGCTTAATTATTATTAATGAAAATTACCTAAAATTTGTGAAGAAAGTATTGGTTAAGGAAGAAGAGAAAGACTGCTTGGTGGTACAATATGTCCATCTTGTAAGTACCTTAAATATATTGATGGAGACAATGACTTTAATATAAGAATTTTGTATACTTTTCTGTATTGATGAGACTTATCAGAATCACCTCTCAGTTCCTTCTTTTTTCGTCTTTTCTCTCTGAAGTTTTATTTTGCTTTATTTATCTGCAGGATGATGGCCTTCCAGAGAATGAACATCAGCTCTCAGTAGCTGGGAAGATAAAGAAGCATTTCAACACAGGCCCTAAGCCGAACAGCACAGCAGCTGGCGTTTCTGTCATAGCAGTAAGCATCTTAAATACACAGATGAAACAGATTTATGTCCCCACCAGATAATTTTGTGTTTATGACACCAAAAGAAACCAGAGAGGGTTAATCTGTAGATAATTGTAGCATTTATTTAATATCAGCATAGTTAGATGGTATCCTGCACAACTTCTTTGATTCTCCTTGTGAGTCACATTGTTATTTAACTGCCCTAGGAGGTATAACTGTACACACAGTACACAGTTCCACATTTTACCAGAAGATCAGTGGACCTAGCTCCAACATAAATTCAACAATTTGAACTGTGGGATCATGACATTTTACTTGGAAGCATACTCATTATATGCATTTAGGCCACACAGAGACTGTAGCGAGACAACACCACTTTAAAATGGAAATTTCTTCAGAATTTAACTGAAAATCTGTATGGCAGCCTAAGCCTCTCTCTCTGAAGACATGAAAAAGAGCTGTGATGCCTCACTGCTGCCTTCATGGTTAACAGGAGTCTAGCCGCTTCAGATTTAGCTGGGCAGCAGCATTTTATTGTAGTGCCACACACAGCCTGCTTCCCTGTCAGCAGAAGTATTTAAAGGGGTAAAGACTTAATGGAACTTCTTGTTGCCTTCTGTCACTTTGCAATTCCAGTGGAGCCATTCTAGGTTTGAACATGTCGGAGTGTCTGAAACAAAGCTTGGCCAAAATTTTGACCAAGCTTTATGAGATTTCAATGGCACCCTCAGTGGAGCATACATGACATAAAATTGTATTTTTCCTCACAGATTAATACAGATGTGTATTACACATACATGGACACAGGATATATTCAGCATATGAAGAGACTATTCATACTAATGCCATTGAATAGTAACATGCACATCCTTCACATTTTTGATACATCTGCTTGTGTTTGTAAGCTTTTCTTTATTACTCATAGTAATGTGAACACTCCAAAGAGTCACTAAAAATGTGACATGTTAAACGTAACCATTCTCATATCAGATTACTCAGTGTTCATTCCCAGCTTCCATAAATTGCAGGTGGTGTGACTGCACATGTACACTTTCTTGTACTGTTTCCACTTTCATGTTTCTCAGCTCAGCCCCTCCAGTGTTGAGTTAAATCAGCATGAAATAAATTCAGCTCAGCACATGCAGTCTGGCTCACAGGTGTGAGGTGCTTGTGCAGCAAAAGGGATACTCTCTCAAAGTTACTTGGTATAAGTACTTAACATTTCAAACTGTGCCTCTCTCATATTTTTTCTTTACTCTTTCCTACCCTGAATGTCCTCAACATGGAAGCAAGTTGTTCCTCATGCTTTGCCTAGATTTTTCAATCATCAGCTAACATAGTCAGCTTTTATTTATTTTCATTTTTAAGCAATAATACTGCAGCAGCTCTCCCACAACTAAAACATCACATACCCATTGCTCATCTGAACTGCAGGTATGTTCTTTCTAGACTAGCTGAAACCGTGTTCCTATTGAATGGACTGCCAGCACGCTTGTCCATGAGAATTACTGCTCAGATCCTCCATGCTAATGACTTCAAAGCTTAAAAGCAAGAAATGATGCCTCTGTCCTCATCCATCCATTGCCTCCTTTATGTTTTTAACTTCCCTGCCCCAGTTGCTTTGCCAAGGAATGTTTTGCAGCAGTTTAACACCTGTGTAATGAAAAAGGCACTGTAGTGAATCTGTCCACTGCAAAACATCAGGGAAAAAAAAGTGCACGATTAAGTATATTCTTAATGACTTTTATTTATTTTTTAGTGTTTGGAAATTTAACAGATTATTTTTAGTGATCATCTCTGTGGGCTAACTTCATATCCTGATATGATTGATCCTGCAACTTGGCCTATAAATTAGAAATGTGTAGAATACTTTTACATAATTCAGAAAGTGACTTGATTATGGGAAGACATGGGGAAGTATAGACCTCTTTAGCGCTTTGGTAATGTTTCAGAATGCTAGATAATTTCCATTTTATGAATAAATTACTTTTGTTTTCTACAAAAATAATTTAATATGTAAAAGAAAGCCAAAAGCAAAACAGCAATGTCTTTAAATGTTGTTTCTGCATTTGGTAGTCTATTTAATATACATTTGGCATGCATGTCACCAGAGTTTTATGTTGGGAATCTCTCTTTAACTGTGAAATCTCAAATAAGCTAAAATTAAATCCTATTAACAAAGGCTGCTCTAGATTTAGAACTTGCAAACTATGTATAGATGCTGTAACATATTGTTTGGCACTAAAGACATGCACTAACTTTATTTGCTATAAAAATACTGGAGGTTTGTGCCTGCCTGTATGTTTACATACTTTTTGAGAGAGTGCTTGTGTATATAATATATAGAGTTGCCATCTGTATATTATATTACACATCTGTGTCTGTGTTTGTGAAAATGTGTTAATATGTGCTTATATTTCTATGACTTAATAGTATGAAAGATAAATATTACCATTATTTTGAATATTATAACCCTGTTTATGTACAAAGCTCGCTAATATGTGGTATTTAGTTCTTAGTTTGTCCTTACAGTGATATGATATGATATTATATGCCTGTTTTCTCTGGTGGTAAAAAGTAACACACCTCAAAGATCTCAAGGAGTATTTACCATATGCACCAATTAAAACTCTAATATGAAAATTAAGTTCCTAAAGATGCGTCTCTGGTCAGCTTGACTGAAAGGAAGCTTGAAGCTACATGTGTTTTGCATACAACTTCTGTGGCTACTGCTTCCTTCAGCAATGTCCAAATTGCATTGATTCCTTTGGTTCAGGCTTATTTCTGCTTTATTGATGTGGCAATCTCAGTAAAGTTATCTCTGTCTATCCAAGGCAGAGACATCCTACTTCTTGTGCATGTGTCCAGACGTCAAGTTTGTCCACATTTGAAAGGATTCATCAGTTTGGATGAAATACCCTAATGAACATGTGCGTGCCTAGCAAAGCAATTCCTTTGCTGATGTAGTAGAATAATTTCTCAAACAAAATTAACTATACAAGCAAAGAGACTTTTCTGGTGATGCAATAATACATCATTAAAAGTTCTGCCAGAGTAACTATGTTTAGTTGGGAAAAAATTCCCCCGAACCAACATAGCTTTGCCAGCAAAATTTTAATTGGAGAGTTAGCTTTTAAAACAGCAAGAGAATTAGCAAGTCCCTGAAAAACACTGCTTGCTGATGAGACACTATGTAGGAGATGAATATCACTTTACTTGCCCTGTTCTTATACTCTTGTCACAGGCACTGACTACCGGTCTCTGTGGGAGACCGTTTGGGCTAGTGCCCTTCAGTCTGTGTCAGAATGGCCACATTACTGTTAAACATGTGCCAAAATATTTGCAGGATCATGTTTCTCATACAGCTTTTCAATAGGAGCAGTATTTTTTAGTTCTGTGATGGTGTTTATAAAAGGTACTGCAGTAAAAACATAAAAGCAGGTTTTTATTAGCTAGCCTTTTTAAAATCTGGGGGTATCTTTTATTCTTCAGTTCTTCAAGGGTGTCAATTCCATTTATTTTGGTTTGGTCACAAAGCAGTACCCTTGTGGCTGTACCCTTTAGGCTTCAGTGACAGTGGCTAGGGCGACTAAGAGCGCAAATCACTTTTTAACCATGCTTCTGCAATCCAAAGGTGTGCTGTAATTCCTTGTATGAATCAAGCATTGTTTAGTACATGTCCTTGTCTGAAGTGTTAAATCTTAGCCTGTATGTCATCACTTTGGTGCTTGTACTTTTGCTATTGTTAGGACAGAGAAAAAGACTAATGCTAATCTGCTGTTAAGGTTGTATGAGGTCTCTCTCTTGGCAATGGGAGTAAACTCCAGCTGGAGATGCAGAGTAAACAAGTAGAACAAAAAAAGAGAAAAGCTGCTTAGGAAGTTGGTTGAGCTCTCTTCTGCTTACAGGGTCCTGGGTTGGGGACCCTGGCAATGGCAGGCAGCGTGTGGGTCATTGCCCTGCATTCTGCTGATTTTAAAATAAAAATTACCCATGCCAAGTGGAATTTTTAGCCATGGGATTTCTTGGGTGGTGTGGAGGAGAAGCCAAGCCTAGACTGTAAGTTTTGCTTCAAGTCTTAAAGCTGAACCTCTCGGCTATCCTTTCACACCTATTGTCTGTGTTGTCCTGGGATCACTTTCTGTAGTTGGGTTTCTCACGGCAGAATTTCCACACCACCAAAACTATTTCAGATCTTGTTAGGGAGTGACTTTCCCCATTTTCTCTAAATAAATTTTTGGCTGTTCAATTTTAGGGCAATATTTTTGATCTGCTTTTTAGGAAAACATCCCTTTTGTGTGTTTTATGTGCAGCATACAAGGAAGCCAGTAGATGGCAATAGCAGACCAGTGTAGTTAAGCCAACACAAATTTACCTCTAGGTACATGGTTTTAAACAGGAAACATCATTTAAGTAATTCTAAATAAGATGAAAGAGGCATTGTTTTAACAAAAAAAATAAATTATTAAATTCTACACTTGCAGGAGAGTTATCAAGAAAAAGTTAAATTTGCAGTTAGTTCCTAACTCCCCTTGAAGTGGTTGGTACCTGGGAATGTGTTGAACTGCTATTCTGAATTTAGAATTAGAAACTGTCATCAGTATTGGAAATACATGCCACACTTATTGAAGCCCAAAATGGCCTTCATAGAGCAAAAATCTGAAAATCATTTCAACAGTTTTAGAGCAGTTAGAGTGTCTCTGTCAAGACTTTTCCCCCAAAATTTTATGTAATTCAGCTAAATAATGTTTCCACCGTCTGTTAAGTGTAGCACAGAACAGTTAGGGAAAAGAACACATTTTCTTTGTTCTTATGCACATGATTTTTCTAATGATAAACTAAACTTGAAAGATCTGTATTACTTAAGTAATATTACCAGCACAATTTCCTGGACACAATGTTAAGTTCATTTCCATTTTGACTTTAATTGGTGCAATTTTAAATCAAATAGTTTTGTACTGTTATCTTTTTGAGCATGAGGTGTAAGCTGAAATGATAAACAATGTTAT